GGACAGAAAATTGACAGAGCACCTACTTCACTAAGGAAGTATTCGCTTGAAGCTCTGAAATCGACCAAGCGAAATCAGTAGCTCTTCTCGAGATTAAGACCAAGCCTAATCTCGAGGAACGGACGGACGGGGCTTCCGGCGACGGGAATACATTCGTCGCCAATGTACATTGGCGACGAGTTGTAACCCGTCGCCAATGTACATTGGCGACGGGAATACACCTGTCGCCAATGTACATTGGCGACGAGCTCATACCCATCGCCAATGTACATTGGTGACAGGCAATAACCCGTCGCCAATGTTTTCTGTCACCAATACCTATCTGTCGCCAATTATCATTGACAACGGAATTCCCCGTCGCCAATGTTTATTGTGGATGTATTCCCGTCGCCAATGTACGTTGGCGACGGGCTATAGCCCGTCGCCAATGTTTTCCGTCGCCAATACCTATCCGTCGCCAATGAACATTGGTGACGGATTTTCCTGTCGCCAATGTTTATTGGCGACAGGATTATTGGTGACGGACTCCACCCCGTCGCGAAAGTGTATTGGTGACGGATTTGTCCCTGTCGCCAATGTACATTGGCGGCGGGTTTGTCCCCGTTGCCAATGTACATTGGCGACGAAAAATGCCTGTCGCCAATGTACATTGGCGACAGGTGTATTCCCGTCGTCAATGTACATTGGCGACGAAAAATGCCCGTCGTTAATGTACATAATCAGGTAAAAAAAATTATTTCTGCATTGCAAAGCCCCCCAATCGGGAATGCGTACCTGTTACTACCATTATTCACAATATATTAAACAATACTCACAATATCACATTTATCGATTCGCATCTAACAATATTCACGTTCACCGATTCACATCCAACAATATTCACATTCACATCCAACAATACTAACATTTACATTCATCGATTCACATCCAACAATATTAACATTTAACAATTCACATATATACATAATCAGGAGGTCATAATATGTTCAACACAATCCAAAAGTTCACATAATCAGGAGGTCATAATATGTTTAACACAATCCAAAAGTCCACAAAAGTTACCAAAAAGTCTAACTCATCACTCACTCATCATAGTCGTGGTCCCTATCGTCGTGATCCCTATCATCGGTGGCGGCTGCATTAGGATGTCGTACCGTACTGCTGCTTCCTACGACGGTACCTCCTCTAGCCTAAAAAGAATGTAAATCAATATGAGAATATATTCCAAAATACTCATAATAAATACATATATATAATATGACATATATACCTCTCCACCACTTGCAGCTGCATGCTCATCAAATGCCAACACCATAATATCCGCGTATATAGACTGCGGAAGCAAGTCCTTTACGGGTTGAGAATCGATGAGTCGCTGAACGACATCCCAAGTCGTTTGTGCACCACTTAACTCGTGCTTAATAGTGGGAAGAAAACTTAAAGCCAATGGAATTTCAACATTCTTCATTAAGTATTTTCCAATCTTACCTACGACATATGACGTGTCACTGTGTCGCGTCGATGTCACAGATTGGCTGCTAGGCTTATTGGTGGTGGTGAGTGTCTTAACTCTAGTACTTGACAGAGGCACTCTTCCTTTCTTTCTTGAGTGTAAACCGTAAGCTCCGTCGACAACTTCCATCCACTCGTCTCTGGTCATGCGGTTAGGCTCTACAGGAGTGTCCTCTGTACTTCGAGACTGCGTGACACGGGTGAAGACATCGTTTTGAGAAGCTTCCAGCGCCGCCTGCATATCATATATCATAAAAATTAGAAACTTTGATGAAAAATCATTAAGTATATACAAATCTAAAATTAATCTTATACTTACGTTCAATTCATTAATTTTCTCCACCTTTTTGTCATTTCCCTCTACATTTTCATAGCCCTGGGGTGGTGTATAAGCTCTTTTAGCCAGAAGAGTCGGGGGCATAGTCAAAGCGTCCTGTGATATATTAAATTCTAATTTAAATGTAGGAAACTAATCACATGAAATCAGTTTTAATAATATGATCATACCGGGTTTTCGCTCAAATACTTATGCTCGATCTGAGCATAAGAAGTAGCTCCTAAAAAGTGATCGTATAGCTTTGATCTACGATTCGCCGATGCCGTTTCACATATTTTCTACAAAATAAAGTATTTTTTAGTATGTGCGATGATAATATATAAATGAAAAATAACGTGATGATAATGTCATAAATTAAAAATAATCTACCTTCTTCTCACCCTCCCACTCGATAATGAGAGTCATCCAATTAAATGGAGGAACTCTCTTATCAAGCTCATAGATCCTCTTCCAATCAGTAGATAAATTTGTGAAATATCTTTTCTTTAGATCACTCTTCCAAACTCGAATAAGCTTGGCCATTTTTGGGATAACATAATCCCAAGACTCTGGGTTGTCTTCAAGACAATAATGATCCTGCAAGTTACATGGCAAAAAAATTACACTATAAGAATAATCATTGTGAATTGTAAACAAAATAAGCAGCAGTATATTAAATAATTACCATGAGCTTCTCCCAAATCTTTTTTATGCATTTAAATTCTTGCTCCTCAAAATTATGAGCAATATTAATGGAGCGTGGATCTCTTATTAAACAGCCAATCAAGTTATTAAATATGACAGCCCAATGCCCAACAGGAATGTTGTCCTTCCACTCTAAAATGCCCCGGTACCCTTTCGGAGGTACTTTCGTCTTTTCCTCACTCCCATGCCTACCGGGTTTCTCATAATCTTTTTGGCCTACAAAGTCAGGCCTGGCCGAGACACCCTAGGGTGTCTCGGCCATAGCCGAGACACCAAGGGGTGTCCGCACCCCTTGGAGGTCCCCTACCCCCTCCATATGCCTATAAATAGCCCCTTTGAGTGCCTTGATTAGGGGAGGATTTTTTGGGGAGAGCCTTGGCGAAGCCCTGCTGCAGTGAAGAGCGCCCGTGAGCTTCAACGAGAGGAGGAGAGGTCGGCATCAGCCTTCATCGTCCGTCAGATCCTTAGTATCGGCCTTAGCGTTGATACTAAGAAGAGCTATTACCTCGTTTTAGCCGAGGTATACGCTTATAGCTTCTAGATCTCACGCGGATCGACGAAGCTCTGCTTCTATATCCCTCCGCGGATAGACGAAGCTCTGTCCGATTTATCCGGATCAGAAAGTTTCTAGATCTCACGCGGATCAACGAAACTCTGTCCGATTTATCCGGACCAGATCTGAGTGCCCCGGTGGTCCACGGATATCAACATCCCCGTCACAGGCAAAAGACCCACGCAAGCAAGAGATGACAAACAGATCTTGCGTTTGTTTGAAAAGAGTTGTATCTATTTTGTTTTCATTGAATACCCGTCGTACTGCTTAGATCTGATCGGATCTAGATCTTGCGGTGGTCCACGGATAAACCCCGGCGCAGACAAAGAACCCACAAAAGCGAGCGACCGCAAAACAGGAGCTCGTGATTTGTTCGACACAAAAGGAGAAAGTTGTAATTTTCTTTATTTCTTGTGTTATTTGATTTTCGTTGTAACCGGATCTAAAAAAAAGACCGGATCTTTGTAATCGATAAACTATTACAAGAATTTGCAAGGGAACCAATGATGAAGAAAACAACGATTTTCACCGCGAACACACATAATCGTTGTTTACACAAAATTCATCCATCCAATGGGTATCCTTATCGATATCTCCAATTACACACTGCATGCTATCAAGTCGTTCATCTTCTTCAAGATCTTCAGAATTATCATATGCATCCTCATTCTCTTATACAATGGAACCAACCAATAAATTACCCGTAACATGACCCGAAGCGTTATGGAATATAACACTTGACGTCGTACAAAGGGAAGACCTGCTTAAATATTGTAGTTGAGTCCATGCCATTTCACTCGAGTCATTTTCTAAGTGCATGAGACTTGGAGATGAAATAAATTTGTTCGAGTTATTTTCTAAGTCAAGCAGGAGAACTCTCCCGGAGCATTCGGAGTATGAGCAACACCATAAATTAGAAAATTTTCAACGAACAACTCAATTGAGATTTACTTTTCACAGAGTTGTATCATATCAATCATTTCTTGATCATTGATGATCTCTACAATAATTGTTCTTTTTTTATTTATCGGACAATTATAGAACAACTTAGTTGCAAACTCTGTTAGACCCTAGAGGGGGGTGGGGGTGATAGGGTCTTATGCTAATCTAATCCCGATTAAATGCTAATTAAGATTATATTGGTTAATTTGTCCTTGCAAGAATGATATAAGATAGATATGAGCAAGAATGATATGAATAAGCACAAATAAAAGTACGCTAAGCAAAACACAGACAAACGATATATTTATGAGGTTCGGTCACCACGACCTACGTCCTCGCTCCTCACCTCGAGGAGATCTCCACTATCACAATCCGGTGTCACCACGACCTACGTCCTCGCTCCTCACCTCGAGGAGATCTCCACTATCACAATCCGGTTTAGAAGCTGAAACTTCTACACACTCGGTTTACAAGCTTACTGAAAACTCTCACACAACAAACACTATGTAATCACACTTTACACACTAAGTGTAGGAACCTAGCCCGTGTCCTCCTCCTTAAGTGCTCGGATGTAACCTCTCCCTAGGTTCGTCAACCGACGCCACTCCTATTGGATTTGACCCCGTCTCTCGTCTCACACTTCTCTCGGTGTATAAGTGTATTACAAGTGATATTCACAATAATGATTAAATACAATGATTTGTTCTCGATAACAAATGAGAACACAATGAAGCTCACACTCACTAAATCACACCCACAACCCACACTATATAGTATGAAAATATTAAGCTCAATATTGTGTGTGTGATTACAGTGAATAGATAATATGCAACTCAAATAAAATATAGCTAAGTTATGAAAATGAATCAATAAGCTATATTATGCAACTCAAATAAAATATAGCTAAGTTATGAAAATGAATCAATAAGCTATATAAGAAAGAGTTTAGAAAACTTCTCAATAAACAAGAAGAACAGTAGATGATGATCCCAAATAGGAGTTGAAATCTTCTTCTTGTTGTAGAAAACTTCTCTTAGAACGGATTAAGGAAATCAACTTAAACAGCTCTTAAACAACTCTTAATCTCTTGTTAAAACTTATGTAAAAACAAACTCTTAATATGTTTGAAAGAGAACAGTAATGGGGTATTTATACCCACTCAAAATATCAGCCAAAACCAACTTGAAAAGACCAAAATAGCCTTAGACAGCCGTTGTAAAAAATAACCATTAAAAGGTAATGATGAGATCGGCGGTCGACCGTGGAAATCTCGCGGTCGACCGCGAGGTACAAAAAAGCTGAGAATAGGGTTTGAAAGCTGGCGGTCGACCGCGAAAGTCTCTGGATGGATTCACGGTCGACCGTCATGGTCGACCGTGAGCACATAAGAGCCATACTAAGAAAGTTTGCTGCTGGCGGTCGACCGTGGCGGTCGATCGCAAACTGATACATAGCATATGACAGGTTTTGGGCTGATTTTGAAAATATATTAAAAATATCAAATCAATTCTAAAAATAGTAAAACTTTGGGAAATGTTTCTAAATGATGAAATAAACATGTTTGAAAAGGAATTTTTGAAAAACAATTTTCGTTTGTGAAAACTCCCTGTTTTTGAAAAGTGTTCAGAAAACCTGTTTTTCGTGAACATGAAAATTGAGATATGACTTGTAAACACGTATATATGTATCATGCATACATTATATATATATATAATGAGGTATGAGAAAGATGTAAACATGAACTAAAAGCTGTAGTAACAAAGTTTGATGAAAAATCATTTATATGATAGAAAGATGTCAAAACTGTGTTAAGTGTACATATATTGAGCTTAAATATCGACATACGATATATGTAAGAAAACTAAACTTATACCTAGGTGAATGCACACGCATGAACTTGAATCTTTAACGCTTGATTGTCGTGTGTTGAATTACCTGTAAAGAGAAAAACAAAATAACAAAAACTAGAGAATAGATTAGCGATAAATTGTTTGACAAATCATCATCAAAACTATAGGGCCAACAATCTCCCCCTTTTTGATGATGGCAAATAATTTATTTAATGATATGAAAGTCATATAGATAATACAAATAAACCAATACATCATTTCATATTCATCAACAACTAAACATCAACATGAAGATTTTCTCCCTCTTTGACAACATCAAAATGGGAAGAAAAAAAATAGAAACTAGGAGCAACGCTCCCCCTGCATATAAGCATAGATAATAACCAAGTGTATGGCCAAAAGCTCCCCTGTCAATTTGCATAAATAACATATAAAGATCACATATAGGAGCTAAATAATCATAACCATTCATACACAGCCATAAACATTTGAAATTTAAAGTCCAAACCAAGCATAAAGCATCATTAGCATTATGTTTTCACAATACCACATATTTGTTTTCACAAAACAAAGCATAAATATTGTTTTCACCATATATTGTTCATAGAAATGATAAACTAACATAATCACAATAAACCGAATTAGTCCCACAAAACTACATTGTTTTCCACACAAACCATAGAGTTATTACAACTCAAAACAAAACATAAGTATCAAGTTTTCGTTCACCAAAACATAAACATAACCATAAGCATAAAATCCAATAATCAACGAGTCAATCACTACCATCATCAGATCCGGAGCCAGATCTCGAACCAGAGCCAGAAGCAGATCCTTCATCAGACCCATCATCAGAACCAGAATCAGAACTGGAAGATGGGTCTGGAATCCCAAGAGACTGACGCTGATAACTGAGAATGGTCCTAACGTCCTTCTGAATAGTTGAGACCTGAGTCTCAAGACGATCCAATCGGGCACAGATATCAGAAGTGGAGGAGGTGGAAGCTCTAGACCGAGAACGGGAAGATGATGGCTTAGCAGGATCAGATAAGGAGTCAGAAATTTGCATACGGGAGAGAGAAACTCTATCAAAGTATTCCTTACCCGGATCAACTTTGGGTTCCTTGGTAAGAGCAACACCGAAGTGTTGGAGAATGAGGGTGATGAAGCAGCCAAAGGGAACAAATTTGTAATGCTTGCATGCTATGTTCTTAAGAAAAACATTTGCCCAATTCACTTTTATTTTGGTAAAGATGGCATAAACAGCATTAACCTTATCAGGAGCAAAATGATCAAAGCTACCGGTCTTGGGAATAAGATTTTGAGCAACAATACGAGCAATGATTTTAGCAGTAGGATTGAGTGATTTTTGTTCATAGGGTAGGTGCAATCGGGCTTAAACATAGAATCGTTCACAGCCTGATCGGTGTGTTCGATAGACATGAGCTCAACGTCACTTGACGGGAT